GCGGCGGCGCGGCGCTGCCCGGGGGCGCGGGGTCCGGGCGTTGCACGGGTGGGGGGCCGTGAGCGCTCCTTTACAGAGCCTTGGGGCGCTGCCAGCGGGTGTAAACGGGCAGAAGAGCAGCGAAGCCCCAGTGCCTACCCACTCCCACCGCGGAGGAAAAACTGTCTGAAAATCAAAGCTGGCCATAGGGTAGACAAAAGGTGTAATTATAACTTGAAATCACTTGTTTGGGTGGAATCTGTGCTCTGGCAGCATACAGGACTCTGATCCTAGTAAAAGTTGTAATTAGGAAGGAGTCAAAGCTTCTTTGATGCTAAGCGAAGGAAGTAAACATGTCTATTACAGGGGATTTCAATCTTAAAATCTCAGGCTTTGTTGAAATTAACTTTCAGATTCTATGACAAGAAATATGAAGTATTTTTGAAACTTGTGGAACATCAGAGAGAGTATCGCTCCATCATGAACAGCTTCTAATCCAGAGTTGTGTAATCTGGGAACAGCAGGGATAACGAATTTCCAGATACTTGTGATGAGGGTAATTTCTTCTTACTGTACTGTCCATGTTAAAACTATACTTTTATTATTTAAAGTGTACATTTTAATTTTTAATGAGAAATAAAATGCACTCACTTCACTGCGAAGCACTGGGTATTTTCTGTCAATAATCCGTACAACGCAGGGACAAGGAATAATCATTTGCTCCAGTCAGAGAAGACAAGAGAACCAGCTGCGGGTACCCCGGTGCCGGTGTTTAGACTGGCCACAAGCAGGAACAGCACAAGGAACAACATAACTGACTTGATGGACTTGAATTGCTGCCCTTTGCCGTGTTTTTCACAGGTAACTACACCTGGCATCACACATGGTCCTTTTAATTTTACTACCTGCTACAGCTAAGACCCAAACATGATTTCCATTGGAAAGTTCTGTTTGTTTGGGGTTTTTTTCATTCTGATTATAGTACTTCTTTGGTGGCTGATACTCGAGAATCACTTTTGCAGCTCTGCAGTCTTTTTGTCTCTGTTTTCTTCTGTTTCCTGCTTCCTTTTTTCTGTCTCCATTCTTGCAGCGCAGTTGTTTTGTTATCAATAATTTGTGCCATTTTGTCTTTTGCAAGTAACCCGCCCTCAGTGCGCATTAATCACTGTGCAGATGTGAAATGGCCCACTGTTGACATTGAAAGATTAGGTTGAGCAGACACAGTTGCTGAAAATAAGTTCATAATGCAGGTGCATTCCTTCCATCCTGCCAGCTGCCTCGCGGGGAGTCAGCCCTGAAACAGCCCAGCTCTCCCTGTCCATTCTCATCACGTTACTTCAGCCAGACCCAGCTCAGAGCATGTGCATCTACACAGCCCACCAGCTGCAGAGCTGAACTCAGTGACGGCAGGTACGGGCAACACAGAGGGAGAGAGAAAGGGTTTTCCTTCCTTAGGCTTGCATTTATCAAGGCTCAGAAAACTTCTTGGCTGCCTGCTGGCCAAATCCAGTCAACAAAAGGCTTTTATTTGTTCCCAGGTGATTTTGAAGGTTGCCCTGGATAGTTAGTCTTACAAGGTACTGCCAGGCTCACAGCAACAGGTCATGGCATAACTGGGTGTGGAAGGAGAGAGTTGGGACACTCTGGTTGCATACAGCAAAAATGTTTCACCCCTGACAGTGCAAATCATTTTGATCTTGCAAGATCCAAACTCTGCCAGTGCCTTGAGTGAAATTCTCTCAGAAATTCTTTCTTTCTCTGCCATTTGTCTGTTACTTCTTAAAAGATGCTAGTCTGTTTAAAAAGCAAAACCAGGGTCCCCAGCTGAAGGAGAGGATTAACAAGCAGGGGGTGACAGAACTGAAGACCATATTCAGATCAAATACAACTCTGTTAGAGGTCACTCATGAGAACCCCTCTTTTCTTCAAACTGCGAACTGCGGCCCTCTTGGTGAGCCTGTATTATGCAAGAGAAACAACCTACAGTCCCTTTCCATGGAGTCAGTGCTCATATGGATGGACTCCATCTTTATACACTTAGCTTGATAGAAATTCCATTCTTTAGTATTGGCATAGGCTGTAATTCCCAGTTAAATGCAAACAGAAGTTACACAGTAACAAAATTACACTTAGAGAACTTGTAAAATAATAGTTTCTGGGTTTTTTTACGTTAGTAGTCAGCACTCAAAAACATCTGGTAATTTTTTTAAAGAAACAATGCACTTCCTGCCTTGTAGTGCATGGAAAAGCAATTGTTGCCATTTCCAAAGTACCCATTGTTAAAAGAAACAGCTTTACAAGTTCAGGGACATAATTAAAGACAATGAAAGTTGATGGGAATAAAATGAAGAAACAGCATAACAAAAAGAGTATAACAAGCAAGAAAACGACTGCAACATAATGGTATATCATAGCTTACAATTCAGGGGCACAATAAAATATGTCAGCTGAAAATACGTAGAAGGAAAAAACAGTTGGAGACCAGTGTACTGTGAACAATAAATATTCATAAATTTTAATATATCTATTTTAATATACAATTCATATGTAAAAATGAAGTCCACTGAGTGCAACCACATAGCAAATGTACAGATTATACAGGGACAGATGCGTAGGGTTGTCTGGCAGTGTACCAGCATTTTTAACCATTTGCGGCTCAACACAAACAGACATGCACACACACACCCCAACTTGGGCAAACTTTCCGTAAACTTCCTGCTATTTATATCATCATCATAAGATTGGCCTTGATCTCTCTGGCTGAACTGGTACCAAGACTTACAAGGAAATCACAAGGAGTGTATGAAGTCTGGAAAGGAAACAAACAGTCATGCTGACTTTGTTAAAGCTTAGATGCACAGAGTTCAAGGAAGCTATTACCTTGCATAAGCTTACATGAAAGAGTTACACAGAGATTTGTTCACATTTTTTGCATGATCTTTAATGCTTTTATCCCCTTGTAATACTTCTACTTTATAGCTGCATTTTTGTTCCAACCCAGTGTTACTACCAGTTTCATATTATCCATTTTAAAATCAGGACTGTACTCATTGCAGAGCTGTAAAAAAATCTGTATTCCAGTGGATGTGTAATCAGCCGTGATAACACAAAGCACTGATACAAGATTTTGTAGGGATACTATCTAACATCCCTTGTGTCGTACAAGACTTAGCAAATTGTACAGTTTGCTAAGTTCTCAAATTAAAATTTTATTCAAATTGAGCCAAGCTCAGGAGTTCTAAAACTCTTCAACTGCAAGTTGATTGGCATTGCAATTTTAAGTTCTGTTCATAGCTTTAGGCTGAATTTTCAATTCAGGCACTTTGTATGAAGATAAGTTACAGAAAAATGCAGCATGAAAGAGTCTAGCAAGTATACAGCGTAAAACTAGCCTTCTAAGCACTTGCACATCGAATCACTTGGCCGTGCCAAATATTGCTGAGTCCTGCTTCAGCCTTTGTCAGCAGTAGAATGACAAATCCATCATACGCTGCCCCAAATCAAAGAGAAGCATGTCATCGCTTGATGAAGTTTGACCAAGGAATCCACGTCTGAGTCAGTCAGGACTCTGACAGCATGCTCTGAGCTGCAGACCTTGCCATATTTACCCCATTAGATGCAATTTGCTGACAAATGTTTATCATGCAAATTAAAAGAAGGGAAACAACCACCATGTCATCGGCTGTTCCAAGAGTCCTACAGAGAGGCCCAGGCTTCATGTCAAATGGAGAAGACAAGCATATGATAGTTCCAAAGGAGCAAACAGCAACTCTTAGGAAAAAAATCCATACGAGACCACCCCAGGTGAAGATGCCTCGCAAGGCAAGAGTCAGGAAAAACAGCGTGTCAGAAAGGTAATCTGCAAACTAAATGTTCAGATGAGTTACATTATTTTGCATTCTGATGCATGCAGTTCTTTCAGTTCAATGTGTCTCTTAAGCACTTTTAGATTCAAATCTCTTGAATGCAGAAACTTTACGTGCTGTCCAAATCCACCTATGCTGTTCAGTTATTTTGCAGTATCTAGAGGCACGCGTCTAAAAGGAATCCCCACTGCCCCAGCACTTTGAAAAGAAAGTATTATGCTTGACATTGAATCCTTTTGGAAACTGAGCCTTAATGGCTGCACTGAGTATATGCCTGTCTTTAAGATCTGGCATCAAGTGTAGGCTATGAATGCTTCAAAATCAAGTCTCACCTTGGTGTGGACAGGAACCATAGGACCAAGTGATTATTCCTCTTCATTAATGCTAGTTTGTTGGGTTGAAAAGTAATATTCTCCTCTACAGTGCTTAGTCTAGTCTGTAGATTGAAACAGACTCCACAGTCCTTTCAGGCCCCCTACCAGGATGTGACAGGAGAGGGAGATTTGCTCTGGTGATATTCTACACCCTGTCAAGAATGGGCCTCACTTGTGGTGCCTTCAGCCCTCATCTTTCACATCATTTCCACTGCCTGTCATGTCTCTGTACCAGCTGGGATTCCAGCTTTAAGAAAGTGCAGAGCCAGCATTGTCTCTTCAAATTTGGCAATACCTGGGGAAAAAAACAGCTGCTTTCTAAGCTGGAATCTGATTTAAAATTTTAGAGTCAAGTTAAAATCCTGGAGTTCAAATCTGAGTTCATATTTGAAAGTTCCAGCCTGACCACCTCTAGTTCTGCTTTGCTTCCTGTGTCTCACCTCACACTGCTTTCTCCTCCCTGCCAGGGTGACTGCAGACGGACTCCTCTGAGCCAGGAACTCCGAGAAGCACCTTTACTAGAAGGTGCTAGACCCAGCAGTGGATGGTAATACTTCCACTATGGTACTGCCAATAAGTGCATAAAAAGGTAATTCACATGGTGATACAAACTAGTTCTCATTGCTGGGTCTCTTTCAGTCCTCTATGTGTTATGCAGTACTAGGTAAATGTAGATTTATAAATACTTACGGGTCGAGGTTGCCCTGAGAAACGCTTGTTGTAATCTCTAATGTCGTGTACAATTGTTTGCTTGGCTTATCTTGTTGCTTTTCACAAGAGATGTTATCCAGAAGAACCACCTTCATAAGAAAAGATCATCAGCATTAGCACAGTGTATTTTAATCTCCCGTATAAAGGATAGTGTTTTGTAGTATGTGTCCCTCCATAGTCTCTCTATTGCAACTGGACCTTTGTCCAGCTCCCGCAGTTCCACAATAGGAAGAACATTTTCCTTTTATAACATGCATACAACCTTCCAGTACAACAGGCAGCCTCTGACCGGGGTCAGATGAGATTAGGAACTTTCATATTGCTTCTTATGGAATGTTATCCCAGAGATTCAATAAACTGGACAAAAGTAAAATGCTGGAGGCCTGTTTAGTATTTCACAGAGTTGCCTGATATGACATGAGTCAAATGATAAATGCAAATGGCTGCAGGGTCATTCAAGTCTAAGTGCGTTTTGAAATGCTACGGAAAATTAGAGGGTAAATAAAGTTGATCCTAAGAGCTCAAGCTTGTTATTTTGTATGTATCATAATGCAGATGTGTACAAGGGAGGTAAGTCTTACCTTTTGTCTGCAGAGAGGGCAGGTTATTGCTGCTAACCAGGGACTATGTTTCCAATATGTGATCAGACAGGAACCTTCCAAAAAAAAAAAAAAAAGATAAATTGTATTAAGATACATGAAATATATTTGAGGATATTTAATGTTTACAGGGAAGTTATCAGAATTAATAAACCCCCTTTCTACAACTGACTGTAAAAAGGAATGTAATTCTTTGCTTTCATTTTAATACATGGTTTTACTCTGCAAAGTGACCATGTAAAAATGGAGCCTTAGCTCTTCTACACTGGAATACACAGAGATACATGGCCCTCCTAAGGGAGGCTTTGATTCAGTTTCTTTTCCTGTGGATAGCATCTTATTCTTGAAGGTCCCCTGGCTGCGGCTGAAGCACTCAGGAATACAGGCACCCTTCAGAGCACAGCGTTGGCTGCTGTGGACAAAAGCAGCGCAGCTGCATAAAGGTGGAGTTCCTCCAGAGCTAGCATGACTTCTAAGGATTATGAGGGCCAAGTATCCCAAATAAACCAACGCGCACAGCCAAGGGGCAGCCTGGTGATGCAGATTCCTGGTGGCACAACATATGTCTTGGTGATGAAGTATCATACATTGGGCTGTTTTGTCTCTTTGCCCCCGCATTTCAACTCTGTTACTGTTCTGGAACTGCGTAGCTCTGGAAGAGTGAGTTGCTGCATTCTTTTTGATTCTTCTTACCCAGACAACTGCTAACTAATTTCCAAATACAACATACTAAGATCTCAGGTGTGAAAGCGGGCAGAGTCTGAGGACAGTAAGACTAGACTGCACATATAACTGACAGCAGTGGTTGACACACATGAATGTCAGGGCTGGCACTAACAGCAAAAACAGCAAAGCATAAATAGCATCTAATCAGAAGCAGCGCAGCTTGACTTTCAGCTCCCGGGCGCAGTGTGCAGTGTGACAGGTCAGGAAAAAAAAATCTCTCAACATTTAAACTGATCAAATTTGACAAGGACCCCAGTGAAAACAAGCAGAAGGCTGCGCTGCCATTTTGATGGAACTGTTTTATTGAATTGAACAATGGTCTTTGTTCTTAAAAATAACCAGCAAGTAGTATTATAACAAGAAGTCTTCAGAAGCCCTCAGTGCAGGGTTTTTCTGCACCCAGACTTACTTTGTCTATTGTGACTGAAAAGGGGAATACTGGAGAAACTGTGTTTGAAATCAAGTACAAAAATCATCAGTTACATCTTATACACTAGGAGTAAGGATGTTAAATTTGGCCCAAAGACATTTTTTATGAACCTTGCTCCAACTTGTGCTTTTTACTTTTGTTTTCATCTAGTGCAGGGTTTTTCTTTATGACTCTTGATTTTGTTTGCATACACAGACCAGTTGGCTGGGCACATGGCCTTGTTTATATCTAAATCCCCATGCGGTATGTATAAACTCAGTCTGGCAGCCAGCTTCCAGCTTTCGCTTGAACTTTTGCGTTTGACAAGTATCACGCCTGACTTCAGGAACTGCTTTGACCCTCTGGATCCAGATCCTGTATCGTGATCCGTATGGCTGTATTGCTGTGGCTGTGCTCAGTCCCAGTGATGACAGTGGGGCACTCATGGATCCCATAGTTCTTCAAGGGCTTTCAAAAAAGAAGCCTGTGGAAATCAAAATTTGCTGCATGCAGAATCCTTTGTTGAGTAGAACAGGAAGGGAAGGACTCCTCTGAAGTTGACCTATTTGTGCTTCGGTGCATTTTTCATAAAATAGACAAAATCCTGTTTTAATCTAGCCTGCTACACAACCTTCTGAGGGAGTCTGTACGTTTCTCTAAAATACCTCTGTGGTTATTGTTAATTAGAAAAAAATAATATTGCTCAAGGATCGCTTTTCAGTTGAACTTCCTGAACATATGGTTCAAACTGAAGCTGAAAAGGAAAACTTCAGGACAAACTGTATGAATTACTACTAATAATAAAATCAGACATTTTTTATAAGTCCACATTAATCTTCTTTAAAAGCTCTGGGTTGACCACATTTTTTAAATAAAACTTTTACCAGAGCGGAATTTATTAAGAGAGCTCAGCATTGCCTTAGCTCTGTTCCACAGGGCATCAAGAGAAGTTTTATTACTGATTCCAGTCACAACAGACTTAGAGCTACGCAGAATGGTTTTGATAAGCCCAATGTAAATTTTTATTGGTTTAAGATATGAAAAACAGACATGTTACAGAGGCCGCTTCTACTGTATAAACATAGTCATGACATATATAATGCATTGCATTGGAATCAATGCTTCAGAGTGTAAATGATGATGTACTTGAGGAAATTAAAGCTAAATATATACAGCTAACAATAACAATATATAACAAGCTTGTATATGGTGCTTCTCCTCTGCAGATCCCAAAATAAAATAAAGTCCATATCATTATGTCATATTCACAGAGGGAAAAGGGAAAATTAACCAGGCCAGAGAAAGAGGAAAGCTGATGATCTTTGTTGTTATGTCTGTCTTTGTACTTGAAACTATAACTACTGTGACATTATTTGAAACACGTTTTGAGGCCATGTGCTTGCTGTTTGTCCTGGAGTGGGATATATTCAAGGCATCCTTTTCCTGTATGTTATAAAACAGTGTTATAAAAACATGAAACAACCTGAAGTATTAAATGGTGTCACTCATGAGGTAGATGAGCCCTACAAAGTGTCCCTAGCTGTTGGTGATCCACTGATTTGTTGTGGTTTCAGAGGATGGAGGTAGTGGCAGTGGCGATGGGGAGTTGTGCTGTGTGAGCATCATTTCCATCTAGAGAAAAACGACACTTCCTAAAGATAAAGATGTGCTTTTATTGCACCAGCATTAACAATACAGGCCCTTGTTCTCATTGATGCTTAGGTCCTTTTATAACACGGTGAAAAAAGTGTAAATGGCTTGTAAATATAACTTGCACTTGCTTTAAGGTCTCTGTAAAATGCCGGAGCAGTAGAAAGGAGCTTTATGGTTCTGATCAGTGTCTTCTGATGTGTCTTGCTGTCGCAGTACCAGATAGTACTGCCTCCAGCTGCCTGCCTGCCCCTTGCCAGAGATTACTGATCTCATGCTGCACAGTAGCCCTGCAGTACCCTTCATGGGCAGTTTCAGCCTCACCAGATCATGAACTCCAGTTCTCTTCTGCCAGCCCTGCTGTGGGGATGACAGCATTCAGCAAGGACCCTGATAAGCAGCTGGGGCAGTGAGGTTGTAAACTTCACCTGTAAATTCACTGGACGATGTATCTCAGAGGTCTGAGAGAAAGAATGTTCGGTCCAAGTATGCTGGTGGCCTTATCCTGCTGCCTTTCAGAGCAGGTGCAAAGCTCCCACTGGCTTTCGTGGTGCAGAATATGGGCCTTAAAAATCCTGAAATCCCCTTTATAAATGCAATTTTGAACATAATTCCCTCCACTATTCTATGCTTCATCCTTGTATTCCCTTTGAAAAATTATTTAGATTTTGTAATCCTAACCATATGGCTTAGCCGCCTCAAAGAAGGCATTTAGCAGACACATTTATCTAGAGAATTATGGTTTTACTTAGTTTATCCAGTGACTGTAGATGCACTGTGGGAGGACAGGAGACCACACCATGGGCAGCCTCAACAGAAGGACCCTCTAAATCTGGATCTGTCCCTTTTCTGTTAAGACAGATCCTGGGCTGGAAGAAACAGTTACTGAGCATGCATCATGATGAGATGTCTTTGAACATTTTTCCCCTGTATGACCACACAGATTTACTTAAAAAACAATAAACAGATTAAAAGAAGGTTTATACATGTAGAAATTCACTTTTTGAATTGTTTAATAAATATGTAACTTCCGCTATTTTTTTTTTTTAGAAAGCTTTTACAGGACTACAAACCAATGTAATTATGCCTTCTTGCTCCAGATCACTTCTGCCTTGTTTTAGGCAAATGTTTCACGTGGGAAGCAAGTCTGTGGAACAGAATCAGACCTAAGCCCAATGTGTCTTACTCCCGATTTTCACCAATATAAATACAATCAGAATTAATTTTATGGGATAGCTGGATTTTTATGCTGTTGATTAAAAAGACAAGCTGTCTTCCCAGAAGTGAGTTAATGCTTGAAGATAAGACTTCATGTTTGTCACACCTTGAGCTTTCACAGTTACGAACTGTGTGATTATTAGACTGATGATTTTTATAATAGGGTTTTTTGCATAGTTGAATACAAATCGTGTGATTTTCTGGTGCATTTTACCCATTCCATGACTTTGTGTTGTAATTTAACAGTGTCTTGCGAGACGATCTGTTAGTTCTTGTCGTCTTAAGACTTCTTGGGCATTTCAAAAGTGGCACCTTGTAGATGTGAAAGTAATGAGCAAATAAAAACACGGTTACAGATTTTTTGGGGAGATACAAAGATGGGACTTCTCCTGCTTCTAGTGAGAGCACTTACATTAATTCCAGGGAGAAGGGCTTGGTCCTGGTTCTTGCATAGAACTTGATATTTCTGTAAGAAGAGTGCTTTATTTAGCAGCCTGTATAAGCACTGCACTTTCAATCCAGAAAACTTACCACAGAATAAATGTCCACAGTTGGTTTCTACCGGGAGAGTAGCTGTCTGGAGACAGATGGGGCAGCTGAAGTCACTGTGATTACTAGGTTGCCAAATTTGGAGTGATTCCTGGAAGAGAAGTAGTACAGAGTCTTCAATAAATTAGTATTTTGATTGACGTATTCAGTTCATTAATAATAATTTACCGTGATTAGCAGAGAGTCACAGAAACTAAGTATAGATGTCACGCATAACTAATCGTTACCTCAGCAGATAATGAAAATTAGGCACAAAGAAATGAAGTGCTTTGTGTAATTCTGCAGAAAGGACCAGTGTCAGAGGTTAAGATCATGATGCCAGCTTTCTGCTTCCAGTGATATAGCCACACACCACTGGATAATATTTCTGTTTTGAAAGCCAGTCGAGTTTGCACCGCTGGCTTGTCTAGCTGTCATTATTCATCAGACAGCACCCGAAGTCTGCCTCAGTAGCTTTTGGATCTTTTTCCTCCTCCTTTGTAGTTATGGCTATCACTTAAATGTACTGAAATAAAGACAGGTGTGTTCTCTGCCTTCCTTGGGTGGCAGAATGGTATCTTTAGTGTGTACCATAGGCTATGTAACAGAAAGACTCCTTTATTTAAGTAAGAAGATGGCTTCCAAACAATCCTTCCCTTTGCTTAGCAAAGTCTATAATTAAGAATAATATTGAGCTTCGTTTTTAGAGCAGGAAGATAAGAATTTTGTAAGCCTCTGAAATGCTAAAGCAGCGTTTTGAAGCACATTTGTATTATAATATTTCTGTAGGGGACAGGCTGAAGGATGTACGTGGGTCTTCTGGTCTTTCTGGACTTCCTAAATCATTGCCTGAAAGCAGTAAAAATCTATTTGGCAGTATATTCATCTATGCCAGGATTGTTTGATACAGTGGGAGATTCTTACTTGATATTGAGTCCTTACCACATTGAAAGTTTTTGCTACCTTTATTATGATGCATTAGATAATCTGTAATGGGTAATGACCTGCGTACTTCATCTTAGCACACCATGGAGAAACTTGCATTTGACCATATGTTCAATTGCCGTAACCACAATGAGATCAGTCTTTGAAGAAAATGTAATAATAATGTGGTTAGTGTCCTTTCTTTCTCAAGATAAAGTTATTTCAATGTTTCTATCAGTCCCAGAAACAGAGGAGTGCTTCTGAAATTGGGAGGGAGCTTCCAAGGAAGTTCCTCCACTTTAAGGCAAAGTCTTGAAGGTTATCGACTGTGCACTGCCTACACACGTTTTGCGAGGTTCAACAGGAGATGGCATTGATTACAGTTTTATTTTGTATTTTGATCAAAAAATGATGAACTTTACATGTTTCTTGATGACCACAGAGGTCCAGCATTATATGGAATGGGTATTATTTCTCCATTACTGAAGTAAGGCATTCAGGTGAGATAGTGGCATACTTCAGGATTTCACTATCGCAGTATGCTTGCTGTCCCTTGTCGCCCAAGGGATTGCTTATTTGTTTTTCAAATACCTGATTAGCACTTGTCTACATGATGGATCAATGAATACACTTCCAAGTATTTGATCTATTTATAGAAGTTTTGATAAAGAGAAAATCGAATAGGTTCTATATTTTGCATGTCAAATACTGGAGGATCCAGAGTGACTGTGAAGATTCAAGCTCATTTGACAACAGACAGAGATTTTATTTAAGTAATTAATTTTTCTAATGTAATAATTCCAAGAAAGAAGAGAGAGGTCATCATGTAGGTCTGCCAAATGAGTGAGCAGGAAACCGATCTCTTGCCACAGCCATGTCTAAAATGACAAGTTCACCAAATCAGTAATTTTAAATCAGCATCTTTAATACCAGTCTTTCCTTCCTATAATGAGGATCTGTAAATATGAAGAACCAGAGGTTTTAAAACAACGTGCCGTAACTACTGGAAAAAGTCTTTCTCCTTTACGGTTTGTGAAGTTATAGATGTATTTGTTTCTGATTCTCAACAGAAAAATTTCAGGTGCTGAAGGGGTTTACATTGTTTTCAGCTTTTCCTCTCTATGCACTGAGAAGATTATCTCCTGCTGAGGTAACAACCCCACGATAGCCCAGCAAAGCTGGGATGACTGGATATGAGTAACTAAAACATAACAATGATCAGATTCAAGCCCAGTACGCCGACAGGTGAACTGCAGGCAAGCAGGCTTTAATACAATGCTACTTAAAATTCATATGGCAAATCACATTCCTTTATTTGGGGCATTTGCAGATTCGTAAGAGCATTATTTCAACTGATACAAGCTGTAATAGTTTTCATCAGCTGAGGAACTGCCCCAGAGCAGTTGTGTTTATAAACACTGCATACATGACATAAGCCAGTTAGGTATCTACTCTTTACTTTTGCAAAGTAATAACACACACATTTCTTTAGCTTTGTCTCATACAACAAAGGGAACCAAATGTGTTTCTGATTATGCAATAGATACTGAGTCAAGGGAAATCCAGCATTCCCAGACCATAACCGACGGAAATTTTGAAAAGCTCTCTTGCCCTCTGCAACCTCAACAAGTTGAAACCGCTTGTGTATTTTGTATTAGAATGTGTTGTACAGTAATTAACTTACTATATGACTCCTAGGGGACAGATGATTATAGTTTTTTTCCAGGTGACTCATCTGATGACTTAATGAGCAAGTCTGCAGAAACAGAGTTTGTGCTGCTCAGAAAATAGGAAAATTGAATGTTGCTGCGTTGCTGTATGATACCAGTTCTGGCTGCTGAGGTAAGCTACGATGCGAAGGGGCTGGAAACTCGTCAGCTGAGGGCAAGTTGCTGTTGAGACCTTGAAAATGCTCTCAGAGCATTTGAGTTAGAGTTAGGACTCTACGAATTAAAGCAAAGAACCAGGCAGTGATCCTATACTAATGACACTAGGTGAAGAATACGTGCATGTATACGATGAAGAGAAATCATTCAAACTCGGTACCGTGAAGCAGCATGTTTTATCTTCTTGTAAGCTCTCTCTCACTGAATGAAGCGAGGTGGGAAACTCGACCAGCTCTGGCAGTATGACACAGGTGGCAAATTCCAAGGAAAAAAAATAGGCAGTTCTTTACATTTACAATTAAGCAGGGGACGTTCTTGTTATGGATGCTAGAAATCTCTGAGTTCAACAGGTACTGGGCATCAAGTACTATTAAATGCAAAGGCAGTACCTCTGACCGAGGAAGTTCCTGAACCAGAGATTGCTAGAGAATGAAAGAGTGTTCTGGGGAAGCATCGTTAATGGTTCTTTATTCTTCTGTAGGCATCCATTGCTGCAGAGAGGGCAAGATGGCCCTGGTTTGACCTGGTATAGCCATTCTTACATCAACAGAGCATTTAGGAGGAAAAAGAGACTCAGAGTCACCTTCAGCAAAGATATCAGTGGCTTAGTCTTGTCCTGAGTGGATAGGCTAGAAAAAACATGCCAAATCTTTCATTTATTTTTAGTAGATTATGTGCACATAATCAAATTTCTGATTTATTTAGTCCAAGCACTCAAAATGGTGTGCGAGTTGGCTTTATCCTAGTTATAAGGGGACCGCCCAGCTGGATCTGATAGAGAAGACAGATGATATCCGACATAGCTATAAGTCTGCCAGAATTAATTTACCCCTTCCAAAATCTTGAGCCAGCCTTTGAACATTTGAACTAGCAGATTGAATTAGAGATTGAAGTAGCGATTATGGCAGTTAGTATTTTGTGTCATGAGGCTGTGAGTTTTTGATGGCATTAAATAGTCTTAACAAAATAAAATATTTAGTGTGACTTTGCCTAAAATGACAGATTTTTAGGGAGCTTCCTCTCATACAGTAGTTCTACATGTAATTACAAACAGTAATTAAAATTGTCATTCCTGTTAACATGTTAGGCTGGAAACTTTGTGAATGCTCATAAAAGTTACTATTTCATAGCCTTGTGTTTGGATCTTGGTGCATATTTCACCTTTGAAAATCCCAGGCCTGGATACTGCCATAGTGATACTGCTTTGATGAATAAGGAGGGGACTATGGAAGTAGTTTTCTGTGGAGCATCCAGAAATTACGCTTCTGTGCCAGGAACATCTCTGCTTTGGGAGAAGTGGAGCAAATTTGCGCCATTTGTCACCAGTAACTGTTGATGAGCTGCAGTCAAATTAGGGAGTGCTACAAATTACCGTAAAGAAAACCAAGCGTTCCTTCAGGATTCATACTGCTCACACTGGTGAGGTTTGAAATGAGTTTGTTCCCAAGTCCAAAAGGCAGAGGGAAGCGCAAGAATTCCTCATACTTGAAACCACAGTATTCCCAGTGTGTTATATGAAGGAAGATACCCAAGTCAAGATTTTCCACACAATTTTCTTAATACTGCTTTGAACACCTAATATTAGCTTTTGTCCAAGATTAATCTTTAGAAGTCCTAAAATATTGGTGTTTCTAACCCATATGTTCTTGGGAATCATGCTACAGCCAGAATGGGACGGTACAATGCATAGTCCAGTAGAAGTCAATTTACTTCATTTGGACGAAATGGGGGAAAAAAAAAACCTACCCAAAGTTCAGAAGCCGATTATTCTGAAAAACAGACTTAGAATCCAAAGATCCAGAGAAAGCCTTAAACTCTGCCACCTCAGATTTTAACTCTGCCACCTCAGATTTTAAGTGCCACAATACCTCTTTTGCGTATCCCTCCCACCATGAATTCCCTAGTCCAGAGTTATGACTCCCAAGCACCTTATATAGCACAGAGACTGAGGCATACACGGATGCTACCCAAATCCCCCAGGCCCAGTACTGGAGGTGCCTACCACTGGCCAACAGTAACACTAAACACATAGGTTATGTCTAAACTCTCAGCATTTGCAAGGAAAACCCCATCATGTTGTGAAGCTGGGGGACCCAGCATCCTCTCAAGGGCACAGGAGTATTCTTTGAAAGAACCAGGCAGGGCTCAGCGTTTTCAGGGAGCGGCACTGGCCACCTTTTAAATAATTCTCAGTAGTGAAAGCTTTCACCCACGTAGGGAACGCTGGCGTGGCGCTTTCACTGACCAAAGAGATTCAGCCCCCATGTCCACTGAGAAAACCCTCATCAGCACACCAGTGGAG